TGATGGAGGGTCTGGGGTGTGAATGCCGAGCAAGGGCACTGATACTGCATGAAATGGAGATGTGCCATGCGGCTTGTGTGGGGTCTGCTGACTCAGCCAGCGGGGCACATCTGGTCGTGAGTGAGGCTGCCTGCAATGGGTCTCAGGGACGCCCACCCCAGCACCCTACTCCTACTGAGGCCCGACACCTCCCTAGAACCTTGGAGGCAGACATAGGGAGGACCTGGGATGATATTCACCACAGTGAGCCTTTGTCCCCAGCCCCTCCGCAGCTCTGACTGAGGCTGGCGAGGCTGATCAGACCCATCACGGCCCACCTGTGGAGCAGAGGAACGTGCAGGTGCCTAGTCCTCCAAGGCCACTGCCCCACGTACTCTAGGAGTCTGTGGTAGGTCTTGGGGTAGCTACTGGACATCGCTTGTGTCCGTGCTTCTCAACATGCGGTCCCCATGCTGGGAGAAGCAACCAGTGTTTGGGGTGCAAGTTCTCAGGCTTTACCCACATGTTCAGAACCCACAGCCATGGTACAGTCTGAGCACACTCGGCTTGGAGAACCACTGCCGTATCCATGTTCTTGTCACTCATAGAGTGTGTCCCCGGACCAACACCTTCAGCATCCGCCGGGAGCTTGTTGGACCTCAGGGAGTGGCAGCCACCATCGCTCCCCCTGGGGCCCACTGTTCAGGTGCAGACGGAGTATGAGAAATGCCAGTTCTTGTGCTAAAGTGTATTGGGGGGTTCTGGGGCAGGTTGGGGGCCACAGTAGTAGATGGGACACTTCCTGGTGAGGGTGGTAGGAGCAGCCCTGGTGGCTTGAAGAAAATGGGACCCAGAAGTGGGGGGAGGCCTAAGGGCCCAGTGAGCCAGGCAATAGACTCACTCACAACATACATAGCCTTGTGGGGAGTGGCTCCCGGTAGCACTTGAGCCGTCTCATGTGGTCCATTCATGCCCAGACTAATGGGAATGCTGGGGCCTGAGGACTGGGGCATCCTCTCTGGAAACCTGCCTGCAGTTAGAGAAACATTGGATGCCTAGAAAAATCAATGAATCGTCAGTGTTTTGAAGAAATGGAGTTGAGGGGAATCCTGAAGCTTGATATGACGTGTTTGTGTACGAAAGGTGATGTTGATCTTAAAGCACGCCTGATTTCTTTGACGCTTCTCCTTTATAAAGGGGAAGACCAGGTCTCCTCTTTCATGTGACGGGATTTCGTAAGTCTCTGCCAAGGAATAGCTCTGGCAGAAATGATGGTGTACGACTTCCGAGGCTCGGTCACAGAAGGCAGGAAGACTGCCTCCTTGCTCACTTGGGGACCACAGTCGCTGTGCCACGAGGACATTTCAAAGCCCGTGTCCTCCTGTCCACAGCAAACACCAGCTTCCCAGCCCCGGGCGCGTGTACAGGACTCTCCAAAGTGGACATCCCAAAGCCGAAAGTACCTGTTCTCACCTGTTCTGCTGTTACCTAGGCCGTCACAAAGACCGTCTGCCTTGCTCCTTCTAAACAAAACTCTCTTCCCTCTTGGATTAGGTAAATGCGCACTGCTCCAGGGAAAATGCCTGCCCTTCAGGTACCAGTCCACGCTGCAGACCAGACCAGCTCTGAGCTGCTTGGGCCATCAGCACGGGGCCTGGATGCTCACTTACACTGAGGTACACAGATACCCATCTGGGGAGGAGTAGGTGTGCATGTGTGTGCTGGGGCTCACGTACCCAGCCTTGAGCATGCCCAGATGAAGTCCCCGTGGAATTTGACATGTTGTTGCCCTAAGAGACCTCCTCACCCTCCAGGAGCAGCTGAGGCCTGAGACCTGCAGATTAGCTCTAAGCCTCAGCCTTTCTGCAAAAAGCTAGTACTTGACTCTACCAGCTTCGAGCCATGCATGTGTCACGCCCCTGTGACCACATGTCTTGGAAAGCCAGTGACCCCCAGGCTCTGTGTGTGTGTGTGTGTGTGTGTCTAGCTGTAGGACAAACTCTAGGTCCAGTGTCTCTAAAGAAGAACAAGTACGTAGGGTTCTGAGTGCTGGGTGTGTTATTCAGCATCACACCAACCTGTTCTCCCACTTTATAAACAGGAAGCCAGGGTATCAGGAGTCTCGGCAGCCTGTCCAGGGTCATACATTCAGAGAAGTCAGACGGGGCCCTCCAGCTCCAGAACCAGCATCTGGGGCACTGTGCGCCTTTCTTGGGAATCCTGACAAGCCTCTCAGGACAAAAAGGTGCACATCTACTGAGGGAGCCTGCTGCCAGGGTGCACTTGTTGCGGTGTGGACATCTATCTGCACCAGGCGATAATGAATTGATCATCCACTTGCTTTCTCATTCTTTGTGGGAGCAGGATGCCAATACTTTCTCGGGTTCCTGGGCCCACAAAGCCAGAGGGGGACCTCTCGGGTCAGTGGCAGAATTCTCACCTGCACATGTTTTAGTGTAGCTTTCAGATTAAGATGGACTAGAAAGAAAGGCATGGCAACTCCCCACATCGCCCCCCAAAAGCATTCAGCCAATGAAAACCCTGTGACTAAATGTGACTCTTAACCAGTTTCGGGGGTGGGGCAAGACTGAGCGATGGTTTGTTCTGTTTTCCCTCGGTGTAGGTGAGTTGGGCTAACTGGTGGCAGCTAACCCTATGATCTGAGCGTGCATTTCCAAGGCACTTGTTGTGATGACAGACTGCATTACCAGGTGAACAATGGCGACAGGAAGGGACACGTCCCTGTGAACAGTCAACCAGGTGAGATCAGGGGCTGCAGCTCAGGAGGCAGGAAAGGATAAGCAAGAAGGACAGTGGAGATGCTGGACAGAGGGAGGAACTGAGAAGAGTGCTGTCAGATTTTGAGGAGTGCAATCAACACACACACACACACAACCTAAAAAACAGGCTTGTTGGGGGAGGAGTCTTGGTGGCACTGGTTAAAGCACTCCGCTGCTAAATGACATGTCAGTGGTTCAAATTCATAGCAGTGCTGTAGGGGAAAAGATGTGGCAGTTTACTCCCATAAAGATTCTCAAACTCAAATGATGATGGCAACATATGTTACAAATGTGCTTGATACAATTGATGTACAAATTGCTATGATGTAATGTAGTATTGTTTGGGGGTGGATCGGGGGTCAGCCCCCACCACTACTACTACCCACAGTTTCAGTAAGTGCAATTGTACAGTTGAGATATAGAAGTATTATATTAAAGTCATCAAGAGCATGAGAGATACAATAATGCAGTTAGACACATTACATGGTAGCATTGCTCACCTCCGCTCAGCTTGGCGGTCCACGTGGAGAGAGGGGGAAGGGAAGGAGGGCAAGAGAACTAGGGAGAGAGGATGGGGGCGGAGGGGGAAGAGAGGGGAGTGAGAGAGAGATCTATATTGCTGACCCCACCTATATACCTTTTGGGGGCATGCACACCCACTAATTACAGGTAAAGACATCCGTCACAGGGAAGGGGTTACACTATAGGTTACACAGTAATGAGGGGGTGGTCCAGGGACATACACGCAACAGGAAGAGGAGGGACTGGGGTATACATGTGACAAGATGGGTGGATCCCAGATTCAGGACCGGCAGCTCAACTTTAACCTGTTCCTGGGTCTCCATAGGAACCATTATCAGTAGCGTGTAAACCCCACCTACAGGAACCACATAGATGACTGCAGGCCTGTCCATTGTCTTTAACAGCAGGGAGCAGGGCCCCCTGCTGTCTGGCAACTGATTGCCCTGGGGGGGGGGAGTGCCTGTGCATCTGACCTCCCCCCACAATGTAAATGCCACCAATAAAACGATTTATTAAAAAAAAAATTCTCAAACTCACCTGCCAATGCTAATTCATTAGCAACCCCCTGTGAGTTTTGAAGACTTTAACTGGTTTTTTAAAAAATCATTTTATTAGGGGCTCATACAACTCTTATCACAATCCATCCATCCATCCATTGTGTAAAGCGCATTTGTACATTCATTGAAGCCCAGTTTTCTTTTTCCCTTGGAGATGCTGCTGGTTTCAAACTGCTGACCATAAAGTGTCACAGCCCATGAAGTACACACTGCCCCACCAGGGCTCCCAGAAAGGTGATTGCCTTAGGAAGGCCCTGGGCAGTTGCCCT